TTCAATTTTTGTGATATCAACTTTAAATTTGGAACACAACATGGTTAGATATATAGCGTTCATTTTATAGTAATTTTATAGTAAAAAATATTTTGCAATATATTTTTTACTATAAAATAAATATTTTGCAAAATATTTTTTACTATAAAATAAATATTTATTAATAAAGTATATTTGATTTACTGTAAATTATAACTTCCATAACTTTTTCATACTTTATTTTTTTTTTAAGTGCTTTCACTTCAGTAATAATCTGCTGATTGTTTTCTTTAAAACAAGACCAAATTTAGGTCTATATTCCAAAGCATTCTTGAATTACAACCATTTAGGTTTGTATAGTGCATTTTAATGTCAATTATCAAAAGGGGGGGTGACAGGTAAAGGGTTAAATATCAGTCTCTCTGTGCATCTGTGTGTGTAGGACTACTCTCTGCTGTACGAGGAGGCCCGATATTTCCAGCTGCAGCCTCTGCAGGCCGAGCTGGAGCGCTGGCGTTCTGAGAAGGACTCTAGGTATACATCACGCATGTGTGAGTGTGTGGTAGTGCGTGTGGCCCCCGAGCTGGGAGAGAGGATAACGCTCAGCGGCGATAAAGCCCTCATCGAGGACATCTTCCCAGAGATAGGAGACGTCATGTGCAACTCTGTCAACGCCGGCTGGAACCACGATTCCACTCACGTCATACGCTTCCCTCTAAACGGATACTGCCACCTCAACTCTGTACAGGTGCTGAACACCTTATACACGCCTGGCAATAGCATTTATTTATTTGTTTGTTCGTACATTTGTTTATTTATTTATTGTTTTTTTTATTTAGTTCATTTTTATGAAGCATTTATCTTTTTCTTTTTTTTTGCTGTTTGAGGACTCATGAGTTTTGCAAGTTACAAACTTTTAAGAGATAGTTCACTCAAAAATGAAAATTCTGTTCTAATTACTCACCCTCATGTCGTTCCAAACCCGTAAGACTTTCGTTCATTTTCGGAACACAAATGAAGATCTTTTTGTTGAAATCTGAGAGCTTTATGCCCTATCAATTTAAATTTGGGGGTGAATTAACCCTTTAAGTCGTTATAAACTTTAAGTCGTTTGGCATAATCTTTTATTATTTCTTTCAAATATAACTAACCTGCTTCACTGCTTAATAATAAATGTTAAACTTTTGTCCGCCAATCAAAGTCATGCAGTGCGACCAACATGCAGGAAAAAAATATATAAAACTACTATATATACATATACAAATTATATCATGGAGAGGATCCTTACATGACTGCAAATGAGTCTCTTAAAATATCTGATAATTTACACTTTTTATGGCAAGGCAAAGTTAGTTTAGGTTGTTATGTGGTATGACTGCCCGAAAGCATAATGATATTTTTAAAAGAATTATATTAATTTGATATGTAATTGTTATATTAATAATAATTATTATTTATTTATTAAAAATATATATATTTATATATATATATATATATAATGTATTTATTTTTTTCAAATAAATATATATATATATATATATATATATATATGTATATATATATACTTTTTTATTTACAAAGAATTTTTTTTTTTTTTTTACAAAAGTGTGTGTGAATATATATATATATATATATATATATATATATATGTATATATATATATATATATATATATACTGTATATATAATTTTTTTATTTTTTAGAAATATCATGAATGCCATATATATATATATATACACATATACTTTTCAGTATACTTTTTTCTTTTATATAATGATTAAGATATGTATACTCACATTTATCTACAGTGCAAGGGAAATTATATTTTTTACTTGATGGTTACACCACATGTAACAACTTTAAATGAAATCTGCAATCGGCTCCATCCAGGAGCTTTAGCTGATTCAGCATTAGAAACTACAAACATTGGCCAATAATGCATGTCAGGTATGAATGTACAATATGAGCTACATTTTTTTCTATACTGTTCTCTGTAAACATTTCATACTGTTTGTGTGTGTGTGTGTGTGTCTGTCTAGAGGCTGTCTAATCCTGTTTGCTTATTAAATCTTTTGGCCCCTGGCACTTGCCGTCACACTAATGGAAGCAGGAGATTGAGAAAAGCAGAGGCAGAAGACAGGAAAGAAAAATGAGAGAAAAAGAGAGTTGAAGGACAAAAGCATGATGGAAAGTCACAGAGAACAGACAGACAGAAACTTTGACCTGTAAATGGGAGGTTGTTGTGGGAGGGGGAAAAGACCAAGAAAGAAATTGTGGAAAACTGTAGATGGCTGGAGAGAGTGAAGGGAAATTTAGTGACGCAGCGCTGGAGAGCAACAGAGGAAGGCACATCCTGAAGGCACACTAATGGAATGTGATCTCACAGTTCTGTGGAGCGAAGATCTGCAGGACGGGAAGAAACGGCACGAGAGAAAGAGTGAGGGAGAAACAGACAGACAAAAAGACAAAAAGAAAGACGGAATAAGCAAGTTGTTTAAGTATCTCATTTGATTCAGTTGAGAGAGCTGCTGGACAGATGGTTTATAACCCTTTTGCTGTGTTGTGTTTCTAACTGAAGACGGCAGTGATTCTGTGCCAGGGGTGTTCAATTAAAGGGATAGTTCACACAAACATTAAAAAAACGCTGTCACTATACTCATGTCGTTCCAAACATCTATGCTGTTGTTTTTGTTTCTGTGGAACACAAAAGCAGAATCTTCACAGTTTTTGTTCTCATACAACGATCATTTTCAAGCTCCAAAAGGATCAAACACATCTTATAAGTTGCTCAAACAGGGGTTCATTTATTTGCATATTATTTAGAGATTAATTCAAGATATTCTCTGAAAACAAGGCTTAATCTCATCCAGTTTTAGGGCACATTAAATTGATCGATGGAAGTGATAGTAAAGACAATTATAATGGTAACAAATATTTCTATGTCAAATAAATGCTGTTCTTTTGAACTTTATATTCATCCATTAATCATGAAAAAAAAAAAAATTCAAACAAACTGATTATTTTCAACACTGATAATAATTTTGAGCAGCACATCAGTATATTGGAATGATTTCTGAAGGATCATGTGAGTAATGCAGCTGAAAATTCAGTTTTGAACTGCATATAGTAAAAACAGGTACATTTTGATCAAATAAATGCAGCCTTTGGTGAGTTTAAAAGACTTCTTTCAAAACCATTAAAAATTGTACCGACCCCAAACTTTTGAACGGTAGTGTATTTTAATTCTTTGGACTGTTGATATAGGATATATTGACTATGAAAAGATAACGATTTGGTGTGTGTTTGGTCATTTTTGTGCTCATCAGGTTCTGGAGCGACTGCAGCAACGAGGCTTTGAGATTGTTGCTTCTTGTGGAGGCGGTGTGGACTCAACCCAGTTCAGTGAGTACGTTTTGAGGAGAGAGCTCAAACGAAGTCACCGTGGGGTCACGACCTCCGTCATTCGAATCAAACAGGAACCGCTGGATTAGCTGCCCGCTCTGACAAACGATAAACTGGATATGGTATTTTTAACTGAATATAAGGGATGTTTTGATTTATGTTGTAATCCTAAGAGACATTTTTTCATTGGTACTGTCCCTAAATAAAGGAAAAAGATTGCTTAAAAATCACATAAGAACTGTTTCTGAACTTCTCTGGCCATACTGAGTGATGTATTTGATGCTCTTTATGAGGGTTTGTTTTAAAACTTCAAGACTGCCAGATTGCACTTTTGCTGGATTTGTCTTCACCATGACAGCTGAGTGGAAGAGGCTAAACTAATGTTAGACTATATGACATCCTGTAAAGAATTTCATCTGCCATACTTGTTGCAGATAACGTTGTTTGATGAATGATTTATGTTGCTGATCTTCAAGTGTTTCTCTCATAAATAGCATATCACACCAGAGAGGAATAGCAGCTCTAATTGGAAAAATACATGAACACACATAAAGGTTAAACCACAGCTGTGGGTTTCTGGAGGATCAAATGACTAGATGAACCCTCAATTTGTCAAACACAGTAATGAAACTGAATGATCTGAAAGATTTCATTAAAAAGTATATTTCTTTCCACCACTGTTCTTCATTCTTAACATTTTAACAGACAGGTTAAAATAGAAAAACTGTAAGCCAGTCAGAAGAATTTATATTTTAATCTTACACACACAAAGGGTTTCTTTTTTAGTTTGTCCATAAATTTACAGTGTCTGGCTACACTTAAAACTGGTTTATAATCCATGAGATTAAAGTTTGAGAAGAATGTAATGTGATATTGTTAATAAAAGTTTTAAAAACTCACCAAGACTTGTTTATTAACATCTGGAAAATATGTCTAAAACATAAAGTAGGTCTACCAGATTTACAAATGTATATCTTTTCAATTAAATGTAAATGCACAGGTATTAACTAGCCTACTGGCAGGATTTCGTCTTGATTGATGGTTCGTTCGTGAATCATTTCCAAGCGTAATGGCCAAATGGCGTTCGAGTGAGCGTTTCATTGGTTAGATGATAGGTAGGTACCTGTCTATGATATTAACGAATATGGATTTGACTGAGTGACCCAGGCAATAGGCTTGTTCGACTTGCTTTTGAATCGCTCTCGCTGGTGTGATCATGTGATCTACTTTGATGTCGGTCTGTGCAGCGCCGGTTCAAGTCGAATAAGCTAATGGCTAAACGGCAATTAACAAATAAAGTCTTGCTTCATTAACGACTCACAATCAATGAACGAATCACAATAAAAAATATCACTTTTTGCCACCTACTGGCGAATGTAGACCTAACATGCAGAAGAGTCACTGAACCATGAATCGTTTTGATTAATTCAAAAGATTCGAATCCTTGGGATGAATCACAATTCGGTCACGAACTTTTGAGATGGCTAAAGCTAAAAATCCGTCGAGTCTTCAGCGCGTTCGTACACATAGAATTGATTATCCGAGGACGTAGATGGAAAAATCGTTTCGGGTGATCTTGTACCAATTGATTAAATCTGTGTATAGCCTATATCGTAAACTTAGGCTAAATAATGTCGGAAATATCGGGCTCAGATAAATTAGACAATGATCAGTCTCGTGCGCCAAAAGAGAAAAGAGAAAGCAACATCGACGGTCAAACAAGCAACACTGAAGAGTCTTTAGAAACCGCAGCATTAGACAATAAAAGACTCAAAGACTTAGACTCAAACGCTAATGTTAACACCTCTGAAAACAGCAACCCAGATTCAACTCCCCTTAATGAGGAAGGAGATCAGCTAAAAACAAAGAGAGATTCTTCAAACTCTGCATCTCAACGTCCTGTAACAGTTGCTGTGAATGCCAGTGCACCAGCCTCCTCTGTACCTGCTCCAAAGATAATAGCAGGCCCTGCACAGATCAGATCCACCACGCCAGTGGTCGTAGGGGCCAGGGTAGTGACATCCAGCGTTCAGGGACCAGGGGCCACCAGTTTGGCACTGGTTCCTCAGCCTGGAAGGGTGTCTGTGAGCTCTGTGACCATAAGCCAGCCCAGGGTCGTCACCACACTGACTACTGCCAAAGGGGCGGTCGTGACATTGCCAAGGATTTCCACCCCATCACAAAGTGTACCAATGACTCGCACCCCTCAGACTGTGCCACTGCAGCTGCCTGCCAACTTCCAGGTCCCACAAGGTGTGTTGTTTCAGGATCTAATATTGTTGGTCTATGTGGTGCACTTTAGCTGTAATACTATACTTAACCATCAAGCCTACTTATCAGTCTTCTTGGTCTTGCTCTCTCTCTCTCTCTCCTTCTCCCCTGCCTCTGAAGGAATGGTGTTAATCCGCAGTGACAGCGGGCAGTTGATGTTGGTATCTCAGCAGGCTCTGGCCCAGGCACAGGCTCAGGGAATGCTGCCAAAACCAGCCAGTGCTAATGCCTCTGCAACAGTTAGACCCCCATCCTCACAGGTGTGTTATTTTGGTCTCTCTTTTTGACTGCTGGGTATAGAAACAAAAGTGGGATGATTTAGGATGTGGTTTTCCAACTGGGGTCTACAGATCATCAGGCAAGGGGGTCCATAGACAATCCCAAAAAAAGGGTAAAATATGTTTTAACAGTAATAAAAAAAGAAAATCTTGTATGCATGCAGTTGTGTAAAAATACTTTGTCTTATTTTTTCAGATTTTATGTATGCTTATTTTGTTTATGAAAAGCATCATACAAATAACTTTGAATTTATTAAAAGGTTATAATATTACATTATAATTTATTAATATTTTTAATGTTAAAATATATCTTAAATTGTGTATAATGATATAAACATTTGATACAAATTAAATATTTTTAAATAATTTAGTTTAGCTCTAATTAAATTACAAATAAAAGCTAAGGAAGTAATGTTGGGGACATTTCAATATAATGCTCACTGTTTTTCACATCACAGTACACATGGGTCTGCATATAGGAAAACCTGAAGCAGCCTTTATATATTAGAAAGAGGATCCCTCGCAAGAGGGATAATCGCATTTGGCCATCCCTGGCATTAAAATAGTGAAAAGCCACCATATAGCATATGTTTTGAATTGTGAATCTTTTTTTTATTCTTTTTTTTTTTTTTTACGAAATTACAGAAATGCACCCATTTATTTCATATATCTCTTTTCACAGGCAACTGTAACCACTACACCAATCATCAGAGTTTCTCTCCCACCTGCAAGTCCATCAGCTACTACCAATATTAAACTTAACCCCACTCCAGGGACTGCCGTTCAGAAACCACCCACTGCAACAGGGACTGCTATTTTCACACCATCATGTACCACAGGAACTACCATCATTAAACCAGCCAGTGTTATTGGCACAGTCGTCAGAAAGCCCAGCTCTACCATGGGGCCTGTTATCAAAGCCAGTCAAATGACTCCAAACAGCAGCACATCAGGGAGCTTTAACCAGAGGACTAATTCTGTCACTGCAACTACCGTAATTAATACCACTGCTGTAAAGGTATTACTCACATAGGCTGCATCAATTATTGATCCAAACAACAAAACAAAACCAAAAAAAAAAAATGATTCATACTCTGACTTCAGGGCAAGATGTTGACTGAAATGCATTGTTAGCTTTCCCTCAGTGATTTAAATAGAAATGTAGGTCATTCTGTGTCGCATTCATCTACCTAATCATGTCTCTGCTTCATTTGTCTGCAGTCTGTGGGTAAAGGTGCTCTCTCAACCCAGGGTAATGCCCCACGCATGGTGTCTCCTAATGTACCAACCAGATCCTGCACAAACACATCGTCAACACCAGTTACTGTTACAGCTGTAAGTTCATGTGTGTAGGGATGCATTGATATTCAAATTTGCCCGATGCAGAAAAGCCGATAATTGTTTCCATCATGTAATGTTCAATAAATGGCTGAAATGATAATTTTGCTAACACTTTACAATAATGGTTCCATTTATTAACATTAGTTAACTACATTCATTCAGATGAACTAACAATGAAAATTATTTTAAAGCATTTATTAATCTTAGTTTTTTAAAAAGTCAACATTTACTAATATAGTATTGGAAAACAGTTGCATCTGTTAATATTAACAAAGGTTAACAAAGCTTAATAAATACTGTAACAAATATACTCCTAATTGTTAGTTAATGCATTAACTAATGGGACCTTATTATAAAGTGTTACCAACATTTTGCCCTAACCCTAACCTACAATTATTTTTAATTATTATTAGTAATAGTTATTGAAAAGTTCTTAAATTAACGTTAGAAAGTAAAATTATAGGAAATGAGTGTGCACAAAAGATAATTGTCAAAATAATTAATTATGTTAAAATATGTATTTATTAAAGAAATTATAGTTTATATATATCTTGAATATTTAATTTGAATCTTTATCATCAGGAGACCTTGGAGAATGTGAAGAAGTGTAAGAACTTCTTGGTCACTCTTATGAAGCTAGCATCAAGCGGCACTCGCTCGGCCGACATGGCCCAAAACGTCCGAGCTCTTGTCAAAGGCCTGCTGGTATGTCACTTGCTGTTTTCAATATCAATGTATCACATATATATATATATATATATCATATCACAATACATTATATGTTTAAAAAGGCTTTTGTTTTCGTCTCTGCACGTAGGATGGGAAACTAGAGGCAGAAGAGTTCACTGAAAAACTCTACATGGAGCTCAAATCGTCCCCTCAGCCATATCTAGTGCCTTTTCTGAAGGTGATTGCCACTTCTTCACTTATAAAACCCATTTAGATGTCATCAGCAACTTCAACAAAGTCAGATGGGCACATATGAGGGTGCTGGCCTCATTTTTGACCTGATTTTAAGATGAAGTCTATTATCAGACCTTCACAGCTCATGTATGAATGAGGTGCAACCTCTTTGGTATAAGCTAAATTAGAGACACTTAACTAGAAATGCTGATGCGTTCATTTTTTCAGCGGAGCCTGCCAGCTGTCCGTCAGCTCACCCCAAACTCGCAGCTCTTTATTCAGCAGTGCGCCCAACTCAAGCCCTCTGATTCAGCATCAACCAAGGCCACAAACCAGAAGCCCACTGCGTCCATCAGCTCCTCCCTCAAACCCAACCAGCCAACCAGAACTGCTCATCTGGTAAACCCCAGCCCATTTTTAGTCCCAGCAATGTCATTTATCATGATGATTTCAGGGATTTGCCTATATGAAACAACGGAAGAGTAATTCGATAATAAAGAAAACAAATGATCATTCACTGTTGGTGTTTTCACCATGGAAACAAACCTGGATGTGCATAATTGTAATGTTAATATGCAGATATGATTTCTCTATCAATAGTTAGAGTACCATATGGTGTCTGGAATTCAGGTATGTGTGTTTGGGGATCCTGAATACACTGTTTTGATGTTTTATGTAATAGTAGACTCAGTAGACTGTGTGTGTGTGTGTGTGTTTGTGTGAGAGAGAAACACTCTAATTTCACACTGCCTCCTTCCCAGCGCACTGGTTCATTTTTATGACAGCCTCTCTTCACTTTGTCTTCATTTCCTGGTTAACTCACCACCGCCCACGGTGTACAGGCTAATTCACTTAAAACCACCAGTACCCCACAAGCCCAAGCAGAGCCAAATTAGTTTTACACCAGAGACAAAGATGCATGAGTCTTACCCCATTTCGTACCAGGAATGTCATGTTATCATATTCAAATAATGTCATGATTTGTTTTTCTGTAATCTAATATCAGCATTTTATTGGACGTCTTGATGGATTTCCACTGAAATACAGAAGCTCATTTCCCATATACCTGAATAGACTTTAGAGATTTTGATTACTTCACAATCAGAAAGTGCTCTGAGGGTTTGCAGGAAGTGCTCCTGTCTAAAAATGGCTTGCGCAATGTCCTCGAGGTGGACCAAACTCAGCATACCCTCTTTGAATATTTTCATATGCATCATTTTTGCATCTTTGCTGCATTTATTTAGGAATATTATTTGCATGCTGACTTCCTAATGCCTTTGTTTTTACTTTGTCAGGTGATCCAGCAGCCTAAAGGACTAATCGTCAAACATTCTTTGACATCAGCTCAGGTGGGCTTACCTGCACTGAAGCAAACTCAACCCAAACAGATGGTCCTTCAAACCAAAACGTGCACAACAGGTAGAAACTATGCTTTTACTGATTTTTTTTAAAAATGTTTTTGAAAGACATCTCTTATGCTCGCCAAGGCTGCATGTATTTGATCAAAAATACAGTAAAACTAGCCTGGTTAAAACCAAACCATTCTCAGTTGTAACTGAGTTATGGTCTGGCAAAGCGTCATAGACAAATCATTTCCAGAGGGGCGTCACCAACGGACGTCGCGGATAGACCTAAACCCAATCAGAGCGATGAAGGAGATGACGTATGCAGAGCGGCGGAGAAACATCTCCGAGTGTTGTTCTTTGCTCGGTTTTTAATAAAAGGAAACGTTCAAATCGCTTGAAACAGACGCGATAGCTGATTGGAACGAGTGATGTTCGACGGCGGCATCCATCTTTGTAATGTAGGCTACAAAATCTGCTTCAAAATCCCAGCGCTGTCGTCATCGTGTAAAGCCCGCCCCAACGCTTCTGATTGGTGCCGCGATTTCGGCGGATTGGAAATGAGTTTGAATGAGCTCTTTGCCAGACTAACTTTCAGAGCAAATCTAAATTTGCCGGAAGTTGTCTGGGTTTTCCCAGGCTACAGTAAAACAGTAATATTGTGTAATTTTATTCAAATTTAAAATAACGGTTTTCTGTTTTAATACATTTTAAAATGTAATTTATTCCTTTGATCAAAGCTGAATTTTCAGCATTATTACAACTCCAGTCTTCAGTGTCACATGATCCTTCAGAAATCATTCTAATTTGCTGCTCAAGAAACATTTCTTTTTATTATCAATGTTGAAAACGGGTTGTGCTGCTTAATATTTTTTTTCTGGAATCTGTGATACTTTTATTTCAGAATTCTTTGATGAATAGTAGGCGTGTGTAACGATACCCTCATGTCACGATTCGATACATATCACGATACTGAACTCACGATATGATATTATTGCGATACTCCAAGACATATGATAAAAGGTTAACAAAAAATGTACTGTTGATTAAAATGCTAACTTTGATATTACATTGTGGGTTTAAATGAATAGGTTTGGACTTGGTGCTTGTTACCCAAGGACAATAGAGACACCAGAATAAAAATATTCATGATTCTGAAGCTAAAAATGCAGAATTATTTTAGACGAATATACTCTGTCCCTGACTAGATATATTTAAAATAATGTTGGCCACTTTTTACTGGTAACAAGACATTTGGCATTATCCTGACCCACAAATATTCCCCCATTGCATTATTATACATTATAATCAACATTATGTATAGTAGTTTAATGTAGTACTGACACTAAAACTCTGAAATTTTTTAAAAGATTTCTCACACAGTAATTTTTATTTTGGGGGAACTATCCACGATACGTATTGTTGCATTTTTGTATTGCGATATATTGTGGCACGATATATTGTTACACCCCTAATGAATAGAATGTTCAAAAGAAAATAATTTATTTGAAATAGAAATTGTAACAATGTAAAGGTCTTTACAGTCACATTTGATGAATTTAATGCATCCTTATGAATCAAAGTATTTATTTAAATATTTCGAACGGTGGTGTCTGTATTTATATACACTCACCAGCCACTTTCGGTCAGATATTATTTAGCATCTAAATTCCTAGGTACTCATTTTGTATTTATCTTTCTAATGTATTTAAAAAAAAAAAAAAATTATTTCTCTATTTGTTTCATTGTTTTATGTTTTTTTCATTGTATTATGTACAGGATTTTTGAATTACATATGACCTAAGATTTCATTGTTCAAAATGACCGAAGAAAAATAAATAACTAACTAACTAACTAACTTTATTAGCTACACCTTGCTAGTACTGGGTTGGACCCCCTTTTGCCTTCAAAACTGCATTAATTCTTCATGGCATAGATTCAACAAGGTGCTGGAAACATTCCTCAGAGATTTTGGTCCATATTAACATGATAGCATCACGTAGTTGCTGCAGATTTTTTTGGCTGCACATCCACATCCCAAAGGTGCTGTATTGGACTGAGATGTGGTGACTGTGGAGGCCATTTGAGTAAAGTGAACTCATTGTCTTGTTCTAGAAACCAGAAATAGATGATTTGAGTTTTGTGAGATGGTGCGTTATCCTGTTACAAGTAGCCATCAGAAGATGGGTACACTGTGGTCATAAAAGGATGGACATGTTCAGCAACGATACTCAGGAAGGCTGTGGCGTTTAAACGATCCTCAATTGGATTTAAGGGGCCCAAAGTGTGCCAAGAAAATATCCCTCACACCATTACACCAGCAGCAGCCTGAACCGTTGATACAAGGAGGGATGGACCCATGCTTTCATGTTGTTTACACCAAATTGTGACCCTACCATCTGAATGTCGCAGCAGAAATTGAGACTTATCAGACCAGGCAATGTTTTTTCAATCTTCTGTTGTCCAATTTTGATGAGCCCTTGCAAATTGAAGATTCATGCTAGATTCGTGTTCTTAGCTGACAGGAGAGGCACCCGGTATGTCTTCTGCTGCTGTAGTTCATCTGCTTGAAGGTTTGACGTGTTGTGCTTTTAGAGATGCTTTTTTTGCATGCCTCAGTTGTAACGAGTGGTTACTCTTGCCTTTCTATCCGCTCGAACCAGTCTGGCCATCCACCTCTGATTTCTGACATTTTTCTCCCACAGAACTGCCGCTTTCAGTGGATATTTTGTCTTTTTTGGACCATTCTCAGTAAACCCTATAGATGGTTGTTCTTGAAAATCCCAGTAGATCAGCCATTTCTGAAATACTGGAAATACCCTTCTGGCACCAACAATCATGTTCAACATTCAAAGTCACTTAAATCACCTTTCTTCCCAATTCTGATGCTCAGTTTTAACTTCAGCAAATTTGACCATGTCTACATTCCTATATGCATTGTGTTGCTGCCAAGTGATTGGTTGATTAGATATTTGCATTAACAAGCAGTCGAACATGTACCTAATAAAGTGGCCTGTGTGTGTGTGTGTATATATATATGCCAGAAGGGTCACCCCCCTATATATATATATATATATATATATATATATAAGGGCTTACATAAAAGCTTCATTGATTAAAATACCCTGAAAGATGAGCTTTTATTACTTTTATGCTTCTTTCACCTCCAAGTGTCCCAATTCATTTTGAGCTGATAAAAATATCTGTATTTTTATTCTGTCCCCACAGGTGCTGTTGTGCGGCAGTCCATCCTTCAGGCGTCTAAAACACACTTTTCCCAGTCGCCCCTTCCAGCACAGGCACACGGCTTCAAGGACAGCACCTCGGGCTCTTTCCGGTAATAGCTCTGACTTGCGGCCATTCCCTGCTGCACAGTGGGTGAATGTGCATATTGGTTCTTTATAGGATAAATGTGAAAGAAGGCAGTCAATTCGCTGTAGATTAAGATTTCCAGATTAGCTAGATTGTTAGCATATTCATTTTAAGACAAAACAGTGAAGTCCTATTCTTTCATTTATTGTGTGACCTTCATTCAGAGATGACGATGACATAAATGATGTGGCCTCCATGGCCGGAGTGAACCTGAGTGAGGAGAGCGCTCGTATTTTGGCCTCTGGCTCTGAGCTCGTGGGATCAGTGATCCGCTCCTGCCAAGAGGAGCCCTTTTTATTCCCATCAGCCCTCCAGACAAGAGTGCTGCACATTGGTAACTTCACCAAACCCATTCAATTACACACGCACACACACATTTTTTTATATAAAATACTTAATGTATGCACTTGTACAGTTTAACTATAAGTTTTACTATATTTATAGAAGACAGAATAACCAAATTAGTTTGCGATTAGCTGTTGTCATGACAACTGGAGTCTTGTTGTCTGTTAAGGCCAATTCACACTGCACCGACAGACACAGACCAATGGCGACAGTCACCAGATTAAAGCACATCACTTATTAGACATTCTAATTCGAAAACAAAGAGCCGACGGAAGCCAACAGACTCCGACAGGGGTAACACACTGATCTGACAAAACTAGACGAAGTGTCAGTTGGTGCGGTGTAAATTAGCTTTCAGTTGACTGTAACCGGTCCTACTCTACCCACTCCAGGCAGGATTTGAACTGGGAGGCTGGCGCGCTAAGAAGGTCAGGTCTCTAAAGACTGCAGCCTCCAGCATCAGTCGCTTGCGTGCCTCTTGAGGCCAGGGGAGTGGTGTTTACACTTGCAGCTCTTACTGGCATACGTCCGTTACACTCACCTCCCTAAATCTTACCCGTTTCTGGATCACGGCACCAAATGTAACCGGTTCTGCTCGACTTTCTCTAGCAAGTAGGATTGCATCCTCTAGCGCCCCTCTTGAGATCAAGGGAGTGAGGTTTACACACACAGCTCTTACTGGCCTACAACTGTTACACTCACCCCCCTAAACCTCTATCCCATCTGGGTCATGGCACCAAATGTAACCGGTCCTACTCAACCTGCTCCAAGCGGGATTCGAACTGGTGTCTCCGGCGTGGTAGGCGGGTGCTAGCCTCTAGCGTCTGTCGCTAACGCGCCTCTTGAGATCAGGGGAGTGATGTTTACACGCACAGCTCTTACTGGCCTACGTCCGTTACATAGGTATGATAATAATCTTTTTTGGGGTTTTTTAAGTACGTTTTTTTGAGGTTCTGGTGCATAATACTCCCTCAATTGTGAATTCTGCATTAAAAGGCCACATTAAAAAATCCCAGTTACCAACTTTATGTAGCAAATATGTCATTGCCACCCACTTTTCAGCTGTTCAGGCTGGGGGGAAAACTTGCAGACCAGCTAAATCAACTTCCAAACTGGAAGAGTAGCTGAAGACCATCTTAAATCAGCCATGACCAGCTTAAACCTGCTAAGACTTTAAACCAACTGGTTTAAGGTGTTTTTAGCACTCTGAATGTAAAACCAACCCTGCAAGCTAGGCAGAGCACTTCCAGTCTGGAGAAAAGAGAGTAGAACAGTGAGAAAAAATAAACACGAAAGATTCTTAACACATTACATTTCATATAGCGAGTAATTTTGCATTTAAAAGTAACATTCCTGAACTCCTCCGTGTTTCACTGACCTCACTCAGCTATTAGCGATCACTGTTTTTATTGTACATGAGTGTATCTTTACTCAGTGATATTGCATTTCCCCCCCATCTCTGTTTGTCAAAGTCTGTTCACCTCCCTCAGCTCTGTCTCTACGGCATGCATCCTGTCTGTGTTTTTTGGGGGGCATATGTTGTGCTGTGTTGTGACACACGAGTGCAGTCTCTGTCTTTGATCAGTGGTATCTCTGACGAGCCTGTTCTGCTTAATCAGTATGCTAATGACTGCCGAGCCGCGCAAAGTTGCCAGAGTGGCAGGAATCCACTCTGCTGCACTGATCAAAAAAGCATCAGAACAAGGGAGAGAAAGGACGACAGAGGCGGAGGGAGGGAGAGAGGGAGATAGCCAGGAGGTAGGGGGAGTCGTGCGGAGGAGGAGGAGGAGGAGACGAAAAGAGAGAATGTGGAAATGAAAGAGACAGGCTTGGCCTCGCAGGAACTCAGTCCGCATCAGCAGAAAGGGCAAAAATGAGATGGAATTGGAGTGTTTGCAGATGTCTGTCTACTCGGCAAGCGTAACAGACCAACAGGAACAAAGCATGTCTGACATTATGGAAATGTGAAGACAATATAAACAGCAGAGGAAAACAACAAAATCACTGGATTCCAGCTCGATGAAGACAGTCGCCTCTAATTCTACACAATTTCCATTTCCGTCAGGCAGTAAATAGGAATCTTACTCTATTTCAGCATTTGAACAGAACTGCGATTCCTTAAGGAACTATGATTAATCAGGCCCACAACTTGGTTTAAATCATTCCACAGCACTTTTTTTTTTTTTTTTTTTGCAGATTCCGTCTGGGCGGGGTAATTACTGGAGTAAGATTTATTGACTGAAGTTGTCTGAGTTTTAGGAATGTTTAGATGCAGTCCTGAAATGTATAACTGACTCAAATTGGGTGGGTCAAAATACTGATTCATCTTGATTCTTTCTCCAACAAATCTAGGTTGAAAACATTCAGATAAAGGATGTTAATAGAGTGAGTGCTTCTCCCATGCTAAAATATGTGTGATTGTGTGTGTCTGCATAGGTGGTTCTTTGAGTATCAAAGAGGTCTGTCCTGATGTACTTGAATTGCTCTCTCTGGCAACACAAGAGAGACTTCGAGACCTGGTGGGGAAGCTAACCGTTGTGGCACAACATCGACAGATCTCTTATAAGGTATAGACTTGCCTATAACACACAGTAGACAAAATAAAAAAAAACTTTCAGAATTTCTGAAAAAGTAAAGCTTGTTTCATAATAAAGATTTTGGTTCAGAGATGTCAAAATGAAATCGAAACTGATCCTTTTCGTTCAACATTGATCGGTGCACTTTATTCCACGAAAAAAAAATATATAGTTTGCCTTCAGAATATTACAACAATCTTTCTATAACAACTTTCCTTTTTAGATGACATCACCAAGGCCACATGGGTGGGAATAATGATTCCAACCAATAGTCAAATACCTATTTACGCTATGGCTGCATCCGAAGTCACACACTTCCCTATTATGTAGTAGATGGGGAAAAAAAATAGTGTATGAAAATAGTAAGTCAGAATACGCAGTATTCATAAAACCGTAGGCGAAAAGTACCCAGATGACTTACTGCTTCTGGCGAGATTCTGAAGTGTGCATACCATGAACACTTTACTATCCCACGAGGCCACAGGAGAGATTTTTTGATTGGCAGTGAAGCGACGCAACTGACGCCGTAGGCCACATGACCATGACAGATGTAGTACGTTCAGATTACATTCACTACACACATTCATACTGTATAGGACATACTATTTTAACATTGTCAAGTAATTATTCAAAAAAAGGACCTACTCAGAAAATGCATGATTTTGGATGCAGCCAACTATTGTGCATCCTGTTTTTCCCCTGAATCACATCGCAGTATGGAAGTAAAATAGGTTGTTAATGCTATTTCATGTGGACTAAACTGATGTGTACCATAGTCTCGAATTGTGTCTTGTTGGATGATATCGTGATGCTGTGGTGTGTGTTGTCTGTGTTGAGGATGATTGGCGTTACAGTCAGACCAATGACGCGCGCTCTCAGCTGAAGTTCCTGGAGCAACTGGAAAGACTGGAGAAACAGAGGAGGGAGGAAGAGGAGCGAGAAGCACTGCTCCGCATTGCCAGAGTAACTAGCAAACTCAACAAAAGAGGAAAACCACCAGTAATCTGTCTCCGTTTGAAATGTACTGCGCTTTTTTTGTGTGTGTAGAGTCGCTCAAACAGCGAAGACCCAGAGCAACAGCGTCTGAAACAGCGAGCCAAAGAGGTAGAGGGATTTCTGTGTGTGTGTTTTTAATAAAAATACATATGTCCCTCCTCCACAACCTGTTTTTCATTCCTTCTGCTCCCTTGTATAGCAATGAGGACGATCAATACTCTTCATAAAGTCCCATTTGTGCCCCACATAGACAAATCCACACACATACATACACACACCCTGGAGACAAGGCTCTCTAATTGGGGGCTCATTTTAATTGAGTCTAATATTGGGTCTGGAATTGCAGCCTGGGGCTAAACAGGGAATAGAATGTAATGAAAGCCCTCTGGATGAGTTGTGTGTCTGTTTACAAGGTAACGCTCATCTACTCGTGTGTTAGAGAGCACGTAACCTATTTGTGTGTTTTCTCAGGCTCAGGCCTTTCACTTGGGTTCTTTGTCATAGGCTATCGGTAAAATCAATAGTGCTAAAATGAAAGATTCATCACCAAGAACAGCTTTCCGGTTTTTTCCATGGTTTTTTACATTCCATGTGGATTTGGGTGATCCAATGGAAATATTGGTTTTATTTTTGAGTGCCTGTCAAACCCACATTCTCTCTTTTTCCTCTTTTTTAGATGCAGCAGTTGGAGTTGGCACAGATGGAGCACAGAGATGCAAATTTGGCAGCGCTGGCAGCCCTAGGGCCCCGTAAGAGGAAACCTCTGGAGGCTCCCGGCTCAGGGGCCAACCAGGTACCTGCATGTGTCCATACAACCACCCCTGTGTGTTTGTGACTTTTCTTCCTGCTTCACTCTGTGCAGATGTGGAGGAAATGTTTACATACGTGTTCAAAATCACTCGCATGCATACATTTTTGAATTTCTGTCTGGATTGAGACGAGCTGTGGCATTTATTAAGTACACATGTAAGTCTTCCTGTGTGGCCATATGAAATTGCACTTTTGCTTTTGTCTCTTAAACATTAGTAAACTCCTTTAGGAAGGGAATTGGTGTATTATGTTACTTCTTAAGCGCTTCATGTTTGAGTTTGAACTTTGAACCTGCAAATGACTTCTGACTGGATTCTCCACATGCATTAAATTGATCAAAAGTGAAGTAAATGCTTTTACAGTGTTACAAAAGTTATAAGTTACCTTTCTTTTTTTGCTTTCTAGTCATAAAAAAAAAATCACAATTGGCCAAAAAATATATTTTTAAGCAGCACAACTGTTTTCAACATTGATAATAACAATAAGAGAAAATCAGTATATTAGAATCATGATCATGTGACACTGAAGACTAGAGTAATGATACTGAAAATGCAGCTTTGCCATCACAGGAATAAATTACATTTTAAAATATATTTCAATAGAGAATATTTTATTTCTTTTAATAAAATATTTTGTTTCAATGACATTTCATAATATTACTATTTTCACTGTATTTTTTATCAAATAAATGCAGCTTTGGTGTGCATTTCAACAGCAACAAAAAAATCTTGCTCACCCCAAACTTTTGAATGGTATTGTATACGACTAAAGGGGAAGGATTGAACTCAATCTGTAATATACCATGTGTTATTGTTCGTGATTTTATGAGATTTATGAGAAAAAAGGACGAGGAAAGACTGAACAAAAGACCAGAGGATTGTATGTTAGTTTAGTTTAATTAGTTTTTACATTTGTGAATTCCTTTTCCTTTAGGCAGAGGGGAATGCTAATAAGTAAAAAGACGGTTTTGAGTTTGTGTGTGCTTAAATTACACAGGCCTTTTAGAACAAAAGCCCCCTGTGCCTAGGGAAGTTCAGTATTGCCTCTTTTTGAGGTTTCATCTCTGTAATAGATTAAGCATCTCTATAAAGAGCAAGTGCAGTTGGCAGGAAAACAGGGAGGTTAAAAGACTCCAACCGTGTGTTTCAAAAGTTCAATTCTCTGCAGCAGCTTTCTATATTTATATGCCGAAATCTTTCTCTTTATTATTCTGTATTTCTTATTCCAGGATTGAGGTGAGTTTGTTCTGATGATTTCTCAAAGAATAATGTCATGAATTCATTATAGCTCCTCTTGTAAAAAAAGAAGTGTGCTTTATCATATCGATTGTTCACTTGTTGTAGTGTACTTCAAGGCTCAACAGTATATTGAAAAAAACTGTACTTGCATATATAATGTTAATTAAAGAAAAGGCCACTTAAGTGTACTTTAAGAAGTACACTTTCACAAGTGTGTTCTTTTAAAAATAAAAAGTCAAATTAAACGTTTTACCTCAAAGTACATTTCAAAACATTGTTTAATAATCTCGTGTGCTTGGAAGAAATACACCTGACTAACATACTAAAGCACATGTAAAGTACTTGATTGTAATATATTCAATATTACATTTGAAGTAAATTTATTTTAAATGTACTAAATTGATATTACAATTTATGTGTAATTGAATTAAATGCATGACATACAGAAATGGCATATCATTTATTTTACCATAAATTGCATGAAATATAAATTGTAATTTATACAAACCAAAGGACAGGCAATGGTTTTCGGGCTATAGATATAATATACAGATATACAGAAATAATGTTTGTCTCTTCTGTTTTTGTTGCAAAGATAGCTTAAGATAGCTTTCATTTAAATGAAAAAATATCTAAATAATATCATGTTATATATATATATATATATATATATATATATATATATATATATATATATATATATATATATATAGGCCTATGTGATCCAAAGTAACTAGTAACTAACTACTTGAGTAGTTTTTTCATTGGATACTTTTTTACTCTTACTCAAGTAACTTTTAAGATTATTACTTTTACTTTTACTTTGAGTAAATATTTCTATAAGTACTTGTACTTTTACTTGAGTACAGTTTTTGGATACTCTACCCACCTCTGCATTGGTGTTAATTCGATTCCAACTAACATGCAATTAAGAGTATACTTAAGTGTGAACTGAGTGTAAATGATTTTTTTACATAAGTATTCTAAATAAAGTATGTTAAAGTGTACTTCATTTTCACAAGGGCTGTGTGATGATAGCAAGCGAGAGCTGGTAACACTTTTTCATTACCCATTTCTAGACTTGATTTCATGAGAAAAACCATGTAGGCCAATGTGGCTCAAGAAACTCATTGCTTGTGTCTGTCTGCTCAGTTGTTAGGTTCGTACGGGCAGTTTGCTACTCGAGCACCAATTCGAGTCACTATGAGAGACCTGACCTTCTGCATGGAGCAAGACCCCACATTCAGACACACTCTAATGCTGTATAAAGCCTTTCTAGGCTAGATAACCACACACAACCTTTGAGGTATGTTCTGTGTTTGAGCAAGTTCTTGAGATTATATAATACTTTCTCTCTTTTTTTTCAAATTGAAATGTTGTTATAATTCTGTGTTCCTATCCTTGTTTTGAATATTGAATAAACTGTACAGACATATTGGCTGGTAAGGAAGCACAAAAGAATGAATTAAACACGATTAGCAGCAGCCGTTTGTGTGGATCTTTAATGTTTGTGTAACTTCCCAATATTTCAATTTTTACTCCTCAGAATTTTTTTTGTTTTTTGTCCGTTACAATCATGCTGAACTATTGTTGCATTTCGATTGGGGATTGTACAGAGGTCTGTGTATAAGCTGCAGGGCAGTGGATGCCCTGAACAAAGCACGACTAACCAATCGCACAAATACTGCCTTAGGCAACAACATCCACCAATCATAGCGAGACAGTGGGCGAGACAACAATACTGACCAATCAAAGCAGGATATTGCATCAGAGCCCAAATCAGCTTGATACTGACCAACCAATCAGAACATGACAAAAGAACTAGAGCAGACCAATAGGAAGTGCAAACAGCCAGAGGGTTTGAAGCTGAAAGAAACAGGACAATACATACCCTGAAGGACTCTTCTGCAACAAGATCAAGATAACAAGAGCCAAAATCAACAGATCAGGGGCAGGATGTCTCTCATGATCCACTGCTGACCGATCATCTTAAATGATTTAAACCGAGGTTAACTAAAGGGTAACTAACAATGACATAACAACTGTCTTTGCATTTGTAAGTTGAATGGAAGTTCTCAAAAGGAGTCGATTTAATGTATGCTTCGCCTCAGCCTCAGAAACTTAAATACTCTGTGTGCTTGCCTGAGGTACAGGATTCTAAAATATTCCATTACCTCTGAATAATCATGAATGAGAAGCTGGGAGCTAAATATTGATATGCCTGCAGCATTCACAGTCCCTTCAGAGAGTGTGAGCGCATGCTATTCAGAGGTACACAGCCTCACATGCCAATACAGGCTTAGGAATGTCAGTGAATGGAACAAACAGTGCGTTTTAGGCACAGAATGTGCCTTTTATGCAAATTAAAAGGCAGGGTTTTTTTTTACATGACATGAAACCGTTTTTGAAACCATTGATCTCACTGACTTGAATCTGAAACCATAAAGGTTTGCTTCGATTCATTCAGTCGGTCGTTCGGTGTACATCGTTACACCTGTGGGTGACATTGGACAAGTGATTTTCTTTTTGAGTGTTAGGAATGAGTAATTAGCTACTGTAGTTTACTGTAGTCTAATTGACTCAATCAAGTCTTGACTCAATTAGGGATCTCAAAAGACTCCAGTGTTCTAAATTGGACGCTTCATTTAATATATCAAAGTGTTTTTACATGCACAGTTATGATCAAGCTACAATATTCATCTGTCCAATACATGACACTTGCTGCCTGAGAAACTTGTCTCTTCAAGTCAGCGTTTCTGTCTCACCAGTGAAGTTTGGTTGCCATAGATGTATCAACCCGGTCACACTAAATGCGTCTCTATAGCACGCAGTGTGTTTATCGTGCAATTTATACGCGAAAATTAGTTTTTACATGCATAGGAAACGCATTGGTAGGTTTAGTAGTGATGTGGGGTGCATGTGATTAGTATGGCAAGCCAAGAGGTTCAGAATTACGCCATAAATGAATCGCGTTTACAGCAAACGCCGCCATATACGGCGTTTTAACATTATATGTGTTTATATATATATATACCGTATATAGTAAGGGGATAGTAAGCTTGATGTGTAGGCTATATTGCCTAATTGCAAGCTTGTTCAGAAATGGTGACAAAAACTTAAAATATAACTGCTTTTCCATCATATTGAACATCATTATTAGGTTGAATGAATTAGAATTAACTGTTTTATTAATCATTAGAATATAGACATTAAGAGAATACATTGTTATGCAAGTACTTTTACTTTTAATACTTAAAGTACATTTAAAATCAGGTACTTTTTACTTTTTACTTAAGTAGGGTTGTCATTGTGGTACTTCTACTTTTACTAAAGTAAATATGTCTCTGGTTATTTGTACTTTTACTTAAGTACTGAGATTCAGTACTTCCTCCACCACTGCCAATAACTACATCTGAATTCAAAATGCTGAAAATGATTTGTTTGTCTCATTAATGCAAGGTATGTTTTTCATACATAAAGCAAACCGTGACTGCCGAGTGATCAACTTTACACCAGACTTGTTTTCCGCTCACTGATCTCTAGATATAGATTTATTATCTATATTAGAGATCAGGGTTTCGGCAATGTTTCAAACTAAGTGTGCCGCACACGTCCTAAAATCCTGGCCAAATTTGCCCATTGGCCTCTGTCCATCATGGCCTTCTAATCATCCCCATAAATACTGATAGGCTTCATCACTCTCTCCTCTCGACCAGTAAGCTGGTGTGTGGTGGGTGTTCTGGCCAGGTGGATGCTGCACATTGGTGGCGGTTGAGGAGATTCCCCCCTACCACATGTAAAGGGCTTTGAGTACCCATAAAAGCACTATATAAATGTAACAAATTAATAAAAAGTGAAGCCAAAACATTTCGATCTGGCTGAGGTAGCCTATGTTTTATAAAGGTCAATGGGATCCAAGTCAAACTAAAAAAAATCCAGTTATACCTCAAATATTTTTTTCCAGAAGATGGTTTCTGTCATTCTAGGTAGTTCTTATTAGGCTGGTGTGTGTTCAAGTGTTTGTTTTTCCAACAAGTTTGGTTTGTTATTTGATGCTATAAAACGGGGTGTAACGGTTGAGTCCGGCTCCAAATGATGAAATCAGTAATAACCGTTTCTGGGATATTTTGGCTTCATTTTTCTACAGTGGAAGGAAGTGGAGACGCGTTGTCCATCTTTTTTTAGTTTCAAATCAACGTTTCTTCCAACGCCACAATTTAGCAACTTGTGTATCATCTGGATAGAATAGAGTGCAGTAGCCTAGTGCTCGCCCCCTTTTTTCAGCAGCGTTTTCAAGTATTTTTTCCATTCATTTTTCCCATAAGGATTTTTTAAAAGTCTTTGTTAAAGAGTTATAAGCTAAGAACCAAGCCAATCAACTACGAGGTGAGTCACGACACTACAAACTTCTGATTCTAACCTTGATTTCAAAGTTTTTGAAAATCGGACAAAAAGACACGTACAAGACAAGACCACGTGTAGGCTACATAACGGCTTTAGTTAAATAACCTCACTCCCATGAAGCATTGCGAACAGCATAATAAAATTAAAATGAAGAAATATAAAACTACTCATTTACAATTGTTGATTTATATGTATAAAACTATATATTTTGTTTATTGCAAAATATCCATACAAACGTTACAGTATTTTAAGAGCGTTTAGGGAATCGACTCGATTACATTCACAGTGCTTCATGGGAGTGGGTGGAGCTAACGAGACCTTTTGGTGTGCTAACTCTCTGATTGGTAGAATTTTCTGTACAGCATCATGGGTGATGTGGTTTTTCACCAGGTATTCCGCTGTTAAACACGATTATTTAAATAGAAATAAAAAAAGCTTAAATAATGCAGTCTGACGTCTTTAACAGAAGCAAATAGGCTACCATGGATTAGCAACCTTGTTGAAAATTGACATCACCCTTATTCAAATTAACAAAATCTTTGTTTTTGTAAGATCGTATAGTTGTGCTTTGAGTCAGTTGTTTTATTTGTGATAACACAATCATAATTGTAATTTTGATTACAATTATTAATTGCATTAATTCAATGTATGCTTTTTCCTGTGAGCTTGCTTTTTGTTTTTCTATGGTGTGTGTGTGGGGTTTTTTTGTGTGTGTTTTTGCATAGTGCAAATAACCTGTAACCTTTTTGCCATTTTGATGGTTTAATCGAACTTGTAGAGTCACTAAAAACAAATATCCACTCTGGACATTACTTTTGGACTTGCTAAGGCTATTTAATGGTCGAAAAGTTCGGTCTTCAAATGTAGCGTAATCTGGCAGTACTTGGTGCACTTTTAGACATAGACCTACCTTTTAAATAATAGGTATTATTGTTTTACTGCAACACTTTTAAAGTGCATGAAAGCATACTTTGCAGTGATTCAGAATGAGCTTCTTCAGGCAAGGATGGTTTACAGTAGCATTTCACGGTCCTGTATGCTGACTAAATGCATAGAAAAGTGTGTGCTCGATGGACTCATTAAAGAGCCAGTGAAATTGTTCCAGACTGCAGCTCTTCAATTCAATTAATTATTGATTGCATCATCATCTGCATGCGCTGCTAACTGCCTCAGATCAAAGGCACACTATGTGTGCGTTCTAGGTTTCCGTCCCTCTGACAGCACGTCAAATGGAGGAAGACAGAGGTAATTTACCCGTCATTATTATGCATGAGTGCGCTCATGAAAACAAAGATGTTTTTAATGTTGTCTGTCTAGTATGGCAAGCCATTTTGACTTTTATTAATTCCCAGGATATGAATTCTTGATATCAACAATTCAATTTTCACTAGTTAAAATGCTAATTCTATTTCTAGTAACAATGGCCATTTTTATATATAAGGACATTTTAATTCTTGATATATTGATATCAAGAATTGAATTTCAACTATAGTAAAAAATATAATTCTTGATAATCTGTTATTGTATTTTCACTAGTTAAATGTCACCATAGACTGTCATTTAAATTCAATTGTCGATATCAAGAATTGATTTCTTACTAGTTGAAATTCCAGTTTCATGTATCAGAAATACAATTCTTACTAGAAAAAACTATTTTTTATATCAATAATTACTTTTGTTACTATATAAATTCCTACTTTCAAGGATTCAATTGTCACTAGTTGGAATGTTAATTCTTGATATCTGTATATTTATTTCAACAGGTTACAGTTGTTATTTCTGATCTGAAAATGTATTTCTGATATCAAAAATTAGGAGAGTAGTTTCAGATATCTAAACTGGCAACGATCACATTCATGATATCAGAAATTAACATCGTCACTGACAATCGAATTATATATATAAAAAAAATTATTAGCAATTCAATTGTTGATATCAAGAACAGATATTTGCACATAATTATTGATATAAAAAATCTTTTTTAGTAGTACGAATTGTATTTCTGATATGTGAAATTGGAATTTCAACTATAGTAAGACATCAA